CATATGAAATCTCCAAAATCTTTCTTTGAAAAGTCAATTTGAGGTAAATTCACCTGGGTAAATTATGACCCCAGTTTATGGGTCTCATTGGACCAAGAGAGTAGCAATGACTTAAATCATAAGAAAAATCTAAAACATATATAGAACCTAAATACAGGAGCTCAAACTGTAAAACTCTTAGAAAAAAAGACATAAGGGTAAATCTTCATGATCTTGGATTTGGCAACGGAATCTTTGTTATCACAGCAAAAGCACAAGCAGCAAAAGAAAACACAGATAGACTGGGTTTTATCAAAAGTAAAATCATTTGTGTGACACAGGCCACTATGAAGAAAATGAATGTACAGAATGGGATATCTATAAATCATATGCTGATAAGGGTCTAATATCCAGAATATATAAAGAACTTTTACAACCCAACAACAAAAAGACAACCTAATTAAAAACTGGCAGAGGACTTGAACAGACATTGCTTGTAAATATTCTAGTACCCCAGGGTCCAGACCTTGGATCTCCTCTCTCTTCTCACACTCACTCCCCTGGTGATCGCCTCTAGAATTATGGCTTTAAATTCCACCTACACAATGGTGGTGTGCAAAAGAACACTTCTACCCCTCCCTCCTGACTCCTAACTCCTTCTGTCCAACACGCTGCCGCCTGAAATGTTCTTGGCTCTACCCCTTCCACTGCCTTCGCCTGGTCAACTCCTATTTCCTATAGATCTCAGCTCAAATGTCACTTCTCAGACACCCTTGAAGAGGTCCTGGTTTGGTGCTCTATCACAGCTCTTGTCCCCTTTACTGCAATTGCTTATATAACTGTGCGCCAAAAGAGCTCACAAGCTGTAAAAGGGAAGGGAGCAGGCTATTAGAGTAGTGGCTCAATAATCAATGAATGGATGCCAAAGTATCTACAGACACCCCCCCCACCCCGCCCAGACCTCCCCCGCCATGACTTGTCACATGCTTTTCTCTTGCTGTGAATGCAATATGTGAGCCCTCTGTCTACCAGGCAACTCCCACTCATCTGTGAGGCTCCACAAGTCTTCTTTGATGTTGGAGGGCCCACTAGTATTCCTCCAAGGCCTGGCCGCTCCACTTTGCCCAGCTCTGATAACAGCCCAGTGAGTTCTTTGGGAAGTAGGTTCTATGTCTTACTCATCTTTGTATATCAACACCCAGTGGGCAGTGGTAAGTGCTGAACAGTTGAACGGTATACAGGAGAATGAAAGAATGACTCATTAAAATTAAATACTGCACGTTCAATCCCCTCGTCTTCTCCTTTTTCTTCATCTGCTGTTTTCTGTGTATCCTTTCTTCATTTATTCAGTAAATATTTATCAAGTGTCAGGCACTGTTCTGACCATGAGTATACAGATGTGCACAGGACAGATTATAACTCTACCTGCATTCCACTGAGGGAAGACAGAAAATGATCATGTACAGAAACAAATAAAAGGAATGGATAATATGATGATCAGATGGCTGAAAGTGCCACAGTGAAATTAAATAGGGGTGCGGCATAGAGGATGAGCTCTGTTGGTGGGGACAGAGGGAGGTGGTTGTAGACACAGTGGTCAGGAAAGACCTTTCTTAGGAGGCAATATTTAAATGAAGACTGAGTAATGAGAAAGTCCATCATATTAAGATATGGGGGAAGAGTATCTCAGGAACCAGCATGGCCTTTGAAGGGATAACAAAAAGATCAAGGGGACTGCTGCACATTGAATGAGGGGGAAAGAGTAGGAAGCGGGACAGAGAAGTGGGCCAGTGCCACCCACATAGACCTTGTGGTTCATGGTCAGAACTGGTGGATGTTACTACAATTGCAATAGGAAGTTAGTTACAGAAGGTTCTCTAAGTAGTGGGGGGATGTGATTGGATTTACGTTTTAAAGGATTACTCTGATACTACGTAAAGAACAAGGTATGCAGGCAGGGACAGGTGTGGAAAGGGAAGCAGAGCACGTGCAGAAGTAAGGAGACCCAACAGAGGCGGCTGTAGTGGTTTGGGCGAGCGGTGCTGGTGGCTCCCAGTGCCTGGAGCCCGAGCAAAGGTAAAGCCCTCACATGACTGCTTACTGTCGTAGAGACAGGCTTTACAGCCACACGGATCTGGGCTACACCCTCTCTGAACCTTTTATTTATGACTTGAAGACAGGAATAAAAGCACCTGAGTTCAACGTTGTGGGGAATAAATCAGATGAAAAGCATCCAGCAGAGTCCTTCCCACACCATTAACCTTCAATCAATGGTGCTCCTGGTCTGCAATTCCAAAATCCAAAAGGCACTGAAAATTGAGGTTTATTTTGTTTTCATTTGTTTGTTTTGTCTTTGATAGGTGTGTAGCCCCCTGTCTAGACCTGAAATGACACGAGCTAGCTTTATGATACTTTGTCATCCACTTATACGGTTCACTACGGAAACTGTTTTATTAGAGAGTGCTGCCCCCAAATCCCACTGAGAGCATGGTATAATAAACAGGATGTATGCTGCCCTACCTTTCTAAAATCCAAAAACCTCTGAATACCAGAACACATCTGGCCCAAGGGTTTTTTTTTTTTTTAATTTTTTTTTTTAACGTTTATTTATTTTTGAGACAGAGAGAGACAGAGTGTGAGCAGGGGAGGGGCAGAGAGAGGGAGACACAGAATCTGAAACAGGCTCCAGGCTCTGAGCCGTCAGCACAGAGCCCAACGCGGGGCTCGAACTCAAGGACCGCGAGATCATGACCCGAGCTGAAGTCGGCCGCTTAACCGACTGAGCCACCCAGGCGCCCCGAGGCCCAAGGGTTTTTGATAAGGATCTGTAGACGTACCATAGGAACAGTGTCATTTACTTTGGTCACAACTATGAGACCATATGTCAGATTAGGGGAGGGGATCACAGACTTCAAAATAGCAGTTATGGAAGAGACCGTAAATTCTCTCAAATGCTCTAAATCCTCTGTACTCTTAAAAAAAATTTTTTTAACGTTTTTTATTTATTTTTTTGGGACAGAGAGAGACAGAGCATGAACGGGGGAGGGGCAGAGAGAGAGGGAGACACAGAATCGGAAACAGGCTCCAGGCTCTGAGCCATCAGCCCAGAGCCCGACGCGGGGCTCGAACTCACGGACCGCGAGATCATGACCTGGCTGAAGTCCGACGCTTAACCGACTGCGCCACCCAGGCGCCCCTAAATCCTCTGTACTCTTAATTTTAAGTAACTGCCCATCATCAGAATTTAAGTGAAATATACGTGCAACCTAAGAAAGTGCTGAATTAACATGTTTGCAAAAGTACTTACAAGCCTGGAAAAAAGAAGCAGCAGGTTTCTTTTCCAACTAGTGTAAATTAATCTTGTTTTAAATCTATGTTATCATTTTCCTAAAAGAAATCCCCACCTAAATCACTGACGAGTGTTATGTATCCATCTTGCTCATGCCCGGAAGTCACTATGACTGTGGCTTTGCCCCTTCTGGCAGACTGTTAGCTCCTTGTGGGCCCAGCCCCCTCCCAGGCCTCCACAATGCTCACCACACAACACGTATCATCTGGTATCTGACTAATGAAATGAGTAAACTATAGGTCCAGGGTTATGGATCCTCAGGGTCAAATAAGCAAATGGAAGAAGCGCACAATCTGCCCCAAATTCAAAACTCCGAAGTGACAGCAAAGTCTCTTTCAGCCCTCCTTCGGCAAGACATTTTTTAGTGCTTAAGAAATCACAGGCTGGGAATGCAAACTGGTGCAGCCACTCTAGAAAACAGTATGGAGGTTCCTCAAAAAATTAAAAACAGAACGACCCTACCACCCAGCAATTGCACTACTAGGTATTTATCCACGGGATACGGGTATGCTGTTTCAAAGGGGCACATGTACCCCCATGTTTATAGCAGCACTATCAACAATAGCCAAAGTATGGAAAGAGCCCAAATGTCCATCGATGGATGAATGGATAAAGAAGATGTGGTATATACACAATGGAGTATTACTCGGCGATCAAATCAAAATTTGCAACTACGTGGATGGAACTGGAGGGTATTATGCTAAGTGAAATTAGCCAGAGAAGAACAAGTATCATATGACTTCACTCATATGAGGACTTTAAGATACAAAACAGATGAACATAAGGGAAGGGAAGCAAAAATAATATAAAAACATGGAGGGGGGCAAAACATAAGAGACTCTTAAATATGGAGAACAAACAGGGTTGCTGGAGGGGTTGTGGGGGGGGATGGGCTAAATGGGTAAGGGGTATTAAGGAATCTACTCCTGAAATCATTGTTGCACTATATGCTAATTAACTTGGATGTAAATTTTAAAAATAAATTAAAAAAAACCACAGGCAATAGAAGTCTCGTTATTCTGTAATTCAAAAGAGAATTTATGAATTGCCATTCATTAAACAGATATTTAATGAGAACCTATTATGTACTAGGTGCCCAGGCAGTACCAGTGAACAATACTCTTGTGAACTTACTAATGGAGGAACTCAGACAAATCCATAAAAAATGTCACAGGCTGAAAACTACCATGTTGAAAACTGAACCAGAGTAAGGGGGGACTGCCAGGGAAGGGAGGTGTTTTGTTTTTTAATAATAGTATTCAGGGAAAGCTACTCTGACATAAGTGACACTGCAGGAAGCACAGGGTAAAACAGGGGAGTCTGGGTGGCTCAGTGGGGTGGGGGTCCAACTTCGGCTCAGGTCATAATCTCATACATAGGTCATGATCTCACCGTGGCTGGGTTGGAGCCCCGCATCAGGCTCTATGCTGATAGTGGGGAGCCTGCTTGGGATTCTCTCTCTCTCCCTCGCTCTCTGCCCCTCCCCAATTTGTTCTCGTTCTGTCTCTCTCAAAAACAAATACACTAAAAAAGAAGAAGTGCAGGGTAAGGTAAAAGAACGGCCCAAGAAGGTATCGGGGGAAGAGCTTTCCAGGAAGGGTAAACAGGCAGTGCAAAGGCCCAGAGGCAAGTATATGCTTGGCTGTATCCCAAGAACAGCAATGGGGCCTGCATGGCCGGAGTGGAGAGAGCAAGGGGCCTTGTCTGTGCCATTTACGGAATTCTGATGAGACGGTAAGCCATTGGGATGATCCGAGCAAAGGACTGTCCTGTTCTGATTAAAAGGACCCCTGGGGCAGCGGCAGTGTTGAAAAAAGGCAAGGGGGAAAGGGTAGTAGGGAGTTGGGGCAGGGGAAGGAGCAAGGGATGGGGGCGGGGGGAGAGCAGCAAACGGGGCGGGGGGAGGGGGGGAAGGTGGGGGGAGGGCTAAGGCCAAGCAATCGGGAAACAATTAGAAGTGTCTAGGCAAGGGATTTTTAGCCAGGGCCTATTTAGCCAATCTATGAGAAGTCCAGGCCTCCGTATTTCCGATCTGTCACATTCCCCACGTATCTGTTTTCCACTAGATCCCCCCGCCCCCGCATCCCCACCCCACCACCCCGCCACCCCGGCCTGGGAAATTCGTTACTTGCTCTGACCGAAATTCTTCGCGGAAAAAAACAGCTCTCAGTCGCCAGCGCGCTGAGGGATCCCCTCCCCAGCTGCGGGCCTCGGACAGCGCTTCCGAGCGGCCAGGCCGGGGGTCGGCGGCCTCTACCCCCGCAGCCACTTCCCGGGCCGGGGCCGCGCCCCTCGCCGCGCCCAGCACCGCCCCGCGCGCTCGCCGCGCACCCGGAGCCCCGCTGCTCACCGTGCACCGCCGCTGCCGCTGCCCGCCTGCCGGGTCCGGGCGGCTCGCTCTCGCTTTCCTTTTCCCCGCCGGCTCCGCCTTCTATGACCGCGCGCGGCCCCTCCCGCACCGACTCGGGATCGCGGGCAACTCGAGTCTCCTTCCGAGTCCGCGCCGCGCGCGCTGCCGCCCACGTGCTGCCGGCTGCCCGCGGGGCGCGCGGGGACTCTCCTGCGGCACCCCCAGCTCCAAGCCCTCCGGCTTCCAGGTGTGTTTGTGGCCGGAAGGGTCCGCCGGGAGGAAGGGAGGACAGAGAGGTGTCCAAGCGCCCGTGGCGTGCGAGGGTGGGTATTATTCGCCCCATTTCAGGATCGAAGAAACTGAGTAAATTAACTCGTCCAGAGTCCTGCTGCTGCTAAGTGGCAAAGTCAGGAGTCAACTCAGGGTCAGGCCTGTAAACACCGAAGTACTCCGTCCCCGTTCCCTTCTGCCTCCTAACTTTCACGAGACTGGGGATGAAGAGACCTGAAGGCCTAGCCTTCCTTCGGTCAGTTTCCACCCATTTGTCTATTCATTCAACAGGTACTTGCCAGCGCTGTTCTAAACACCGGCCGCAGGTCCAGCCATTAGGAGAGCTACCTGCTCCCTGTGGGACCTCGTGGAGTTTTGCTCCCGAAGCCCCTACGGGTAGTCCTCGGTTTATAAGAAACTGACACAGCGATTGAGGAGTCCTGAGGACTTACGATAGGGCAAAGTAGGTACCCATTACTGTACCCATTCAACAGATAAGAAAACTGAGGTCTGGGGCACAGAGAAGTTCAGTAACACAGAAGTTAAGTAAGCCGGAGAGCTAGAATTAGAATTACAAGTCTGTACCCTCAACATCTGAGTTAGAGTGAGGGAGTGAGGTGGTCCCAAGATGGACCTCCGATATACTATTGGCATTGGGCATTGGCTCTAGGACTCATTGCCCACTCCTCTTCTCCATCCCTCCGGAGTTTCAGTGGCTAAACTGAATGGCTAACTTTTCGGTGGTTAAACACTATATTTTCTTTAGAGCCCAGGTCCTGGGCAGAGGATTTAAATTCTGCAAATGTGAAGTACTGGTGGAAAGTTTGAAAGATAGATAGGAGACAGAGCCATCTTTCTGTGGGATTTCCAGATGACGGAAAGCTCCAGAAATAGCAGGGATTTGCATGAGACCATTTACCAGGTTTGTGGGTGCGTGGTGTCTGTGACAGCAGCAACAGCGGTAGCAGTGACAGGTTTTCTGGAGGCCCTGAACTGCCCAAGAGAGTTTAAAGACAGGAAATGACAATCTCAAGCGTGGTCAGAGGATACAAGCTTTAATAAATGCCCAGAAGCACCTCTTATTTCATGTAGACTCAGGGCTGATGTTGCAGAAATTAGGTGCAGAGTCTGCAGCTGCAGGTAACAGAATTTTGCAATACAAATTTAATTTGCAGCCTCCCCAGGTCTCTTCTATGAACGTTGAGGGCATTGAATGGGAAAGAATGAGGCCCTGGGAATTTGGGGGGATTTGAGTGAATCCAAGTACTACTGCCCTCCCAAATACTGCTGAGCCTTCAACAGTCCTCTGCCCATGTTTGGTAAGAGTGGTACAGCCTGGTTTGAAGATTATAAAGTAATCACCTTGCAGGGAGGTGCTGATTCTCCAAATGCCCCATCCCTACCTCATACTTTCACTCCTAGAACTAGAATCAGATGCTAGCATGCCCCAAGAGGATACGGACAAGATCTGATCCAGAGGAGATAGTTTATGGAACAAAAGATTTGCAAACTTCCACTAATTTTTATCAGCAAAAACCCAGGAAATATGCATGCAAATGATTCGAAAGGTGGCATTTAGAAATGAATGTAATTCAGATTATGTACTCAGTGTGCTGGCTCCAGCAGCTGGAAATGGCTCATTAGAAATGTTACTGCAACCTGGGCTCAGGGGTGGCCCCCATTAAATGAAATTGTGATGCCAACTAATACAGATAAATCAAAAATACTCAGGGAGTCAGGAATATTGGAGTAGAATGATGGCATTCATTCACTCCCTAGCCATGCTCCCCAAGAAGATCCAAAGGACCCTTCTTCCTCAGGCATTGAGGAAAATATTGGAGTGAGGATCCATTGGAGTGATGTATCCTTGATGTATCCTTGAAAAACTCTGTAATGCCTGACCACTGTAGATTTAGAGAATGTCAGTGGGAGGTGCTGCCATTGGAAAAGCTCCCTAATTTCAGTGGGGATTATGGCAGGTATCTAAGACCCCCATGGCACTCACCCCTGCTCTGTCAACCCACAGCACTGAGCTCATGGAGAGTTCCCTGTGACCAGATGACTGAGAAAGAAAAAATCGAATGAAGCACAGTATACTGGCGTTAATCAGAAGTGGATTGATGTATTAAAACAGCCCCTCTGGAAGGTGGCCCTAAAGGGTATTGGGAGAAAGGAAATCCAGCAGGCAGAACTTTGAGCAGTACATTTCGTTGTCACTTGGAAAGAGAGCAAGCCAGTGGCTTGAACACACCCAGTGTCTCAGAGGCTAGCTGGAGATTCAGAGATTTGGAAGGAAGAAGATCAGAGGGTTGGTCATAAGCGGTCTGAGGAAAATGGTGTGGGTGAACCCCTTGGACACTATGAGCATATAGTGAATGTTCATCAAAGGCACCTACTTCTTCTGAGGAGGCTTTTGAGGAGCAAGTGGCCAGGAAAACTTCTGTAGAGGTCAGTCAGCTTTTCCCCAGCACACACCGTGCTTGTTCACGATGAATAAGGAGACCACAGCAGCAGCAAGGTATGGAATGTGTGAGTTCATCGACGCGAAATTCTCCTCAAGGCTCATCTGGCTGCTGAGCACCCAGCAGTCTCCCATCAGGGACCAACTCTGAGCCCCAGTGTCGAGTACCATACCCCAAGGTAGACCAAGCGGCCACTTGGTGGCAGACAGGTTACACAGGAGCCCTTCCATCTGGCGTGCACAGGGATTTGCCCTGTGGGGAGTGAGCATTTATTTCAGGTACGGATTTGCATTTCCTTCCTGCAGTGCTTCTGCCAGCATCGTCATTGTTGGATATTCTGTATACTTGCTCACCATCACAGCCTGTCTTGCTAAGAAACCCGTTTTACAGAAAAATGAGGCAGTATACTGACTGCTGTAGAATTCAGTAGTTTTATTGTGAACCTCGTCACCCCAAAGCAGCTGGCTGTACAGGGCAGTAGGGTGGAGTATTGAAGGCTCAGGTGCAGCCCCAAGCAGGAGTAGACTGAGTGTATACTCAGCTGAGTGTACTGTCCTTCGGGCAGTGGATGTTCTAAACCAGATTGCTGTTTCTTTCATGGCCAGTACACCTGAACTCAGGAAACAGTAGAAGTGAGAGTGTTGTGTTCCACAATGAAACCTAGTCATGCCCTTGCAAAATAGTGTTTCCTGTTCCTATGACATTGGGCTGTGTTTCCAGTAGGAGACACATAGTTCCTTGAATAGGAATTTGAAACTGTATCTGGACATTTCAGGTTCATGATGCCATCAGGCCATCAAGGAAATAAGGAAGTTACCAAACCAGCTGGGCTGATTTATGGGAAAATAGTGATGTAGCCACACAACGGAGTTCGAGACAAGCATGTCTTTAACTCAGGAGTTCCTCTTGAGTTCCTTCTAGTAACTCCCTGTTCAGTGATACATGTTAGTAGAAGTCAACAGCTGTTCAACAAGACAGGACTGTTTAGGGCTCAGATCCTTCAGGAGTGAAGGTTTTTGTCACCCTACTGGCTGGGAAGATTTCTGAGGGCAAAGAGAATAAGGAATAAGGAATAAGGAAGTAATAAACACCAACTACAGTTTCATGACCTATTGCATTTTTCTTCCTTGCTTTGTTTTTGTATTAATAAACTTCGTTGCTTTTCCCTTTCCTTTTCTATGAGATTTGCTGGTAGTGGTTAATTTTATAAGATAGTCTTCTGGTTAGAGTGTCTTACGGTAGAATTTGTGACTAAAAAAGAAGAGGGAGGAATATCACATAGCCATGGGTATAAAGACTAGGGGCTCGGATAAGCATGTTTTCTTTTTTTTTTTTTTTTTTTTTTTTT